TTTCAGCCCCTCATCAGTCTCTGCGTTGATGGTGCAGAGCTTGCTTGGTTCTCTCTGTCCCCCTCTTTCTCCTCCCCTGCTCATGTGCTCTCTCTCTTTCTTTCTCTCAAAGTATATAAATAAACTTTGAGAAAAAAATAAAAGTAGGGGTGCCTGGGTGGCTCAGTTTGTTAAGTGTCCAACTCTTGATCTTAGTTCAGGTCTTGATCTCACAGTTCGTGAGTTTGAGCCCTGAATTGGGCTCTGTCCTGACAGCTTGTAGCCTACTTCAGAGCCTGTGTCTCCTCCTTTCTCTGTCCCCCTTCTCAAAAATAAATAAACATTTAAAAATTTTTAAAAAAAAGTAGATCTAATAGTGGGTGTTTCTGCCTGATAATACTGATATCTTGAAACCTTACTCAAATCAGAAAGAACTTTTGTCCAGAATACATTATTTGGGACTGAGCACTCTTGAATATCTTTATACATCAGTTCTTCATACACAAACTTCATCTGCTTCTAAGCTGCCCTTAGTAAATTTTCATTGTGAATTACATACTAGATGATTGAATGATTTTTCAAGTGGAACAGCTATTAATTCAACATAAGATTCAGGTACTGTGTTGAATGCCAAGACACACACAACATACAACATGAATTAAAGTCTTAAGGAGGCAAAAGGCCAGAGGAAAAACAGAAATCTCTAAAATTGTGACAAATAGGGAATTGTGCTCTTAAAAATGTGGTTTGCAAAATGGGGAGGGAGTGATGATATCCTCAGAGTGGAGAATTAGGGAGTTTGAGAATGGTGCTTGATGGACATGACAATTGAGTTGATAGCAGAGACACTTTTATTTTTTAAAAATTTTAAACTTAACACTTTTTAAATGTTTATTTTGAGAGAGAGCGAGAGAGTGTGAGCAGGGGAGGGGCAGAGAGAGAGGAAGAGAGAGAATCCCAAACAGGCTCCACATTCATCATGGAGCCTAATGTGGGGCTCCATCTCATGAACCATGAGATCATGACCTCAGCTGGAATCAAGGGTCAGACACCAAGAGTCGGATGCTTAACCAACTGAGCCACCTTGGTGCTCCACAGAGATACTTCTAAAGCTGAATTTCATGTACTTGGTCTCTAAAGTTTCTTAAACTCTAGACTTTATTGGTTAACAATCTCCCATAGTATTTAGTTCCGTATGTATGCAAAGAGAATTACTTCTTTGTTTCTCTCTCTCTTTTTCTTTCTTTCTATTTAAATTTATCTTGAGAGAGAGAGAGAGAGAACATGAGCAGGGGAGGGGCAGAGAGAGAGGGAGAGAAAGAGAGAAGTAGCCTCTGCACCATGAGGGTAGAGCCAGATGTGGGGCTCAAACTCACTAACTGTGAGATCACGGCCTGAGCTGAAACCAAGAGTTGAATGCTTAACTGGCTGAGCCACCTAGGCACCCTGAGTATTACTATTTTTATAAGGACCCTTAGATTTTGCATGGTTCAGGTTCATCAAAAGAAAAATATATATTTCTTGGCATATTTACTAGTAATATTACTGTAAATACTACTATATTACCACTACTGCTGCTGTAACTGCTTCTGTCATTACTATTAGTACTTTCATTAGTACAATGTTCTAATAATGTTACACCTTCTCCTCCTCATACTACCAATTTTCCTCCTCCTCCTACTTCTGGGTAATACTTATTTTTACTAGGAACCACTTTAAGGTCTTTTTTAAAGTTTTAATTAAGTTTTTTAAATGTTTTTATTAAAAATATTTTTATTTTTAAGAGAGAAAGGGGGAGGGGCGCAGAGAGAGAGGGAAACACAGACTCTGAAGCAGGTTTCAGGCTCTTAGCTGTCAGCACAGAGCCTGATGTGGGGCTTAAATTCACAAGCTGTGAGATCATGACCTGAGCCAAAGTCAGACACTTAACCAACTGAGCCACCCAGGACCCCCTTTATTTTTATTTGTTTTTGAGAGCGAGAGAGCGAGAGAGCGAGAGCAGGGGAAGGGCAGAAAGAAGGGGAGAAGAGGATCTGAAGTGGACTCCGTATTGAGAGTGGAGAGCCCCATGTGGGACTCGAACTCATGAACCATGAAATCATAATGAACTAAAGTTGGATGCTTAACCAACTGAGCCACCCAGGCATTAATTTATTTTTTATTTTAAATAATCTCTATGCCCAGCATTGGGCTTGAGCTCGCTATCCCCAAATCAAGAGTCATATGCTGTACTGACTCAGCCAGCCAGGTGCACCTACTTTTAAGTTCTTTATAGTTTTTTTTTTTTTTTAAGTTCTTTACAGTTTTAAGGTGGGAGATAAGGTCAACTTTTAAGAAGGATTTTCAAGGCTATTGATTAAAAAAAGTGACTATTTCACAAAAACTTAATAAAATTATCCCCATTTTCAAAAAGTATTCTGATATTCTAAGTTCTAGTTATGAAGAGTTATCCTATGTTATCTTTTTCCTCATGTTTTTTGGTAAATATTATTATATACATGATAATAGGATTGAATTTTTATGATTAGATCTATTCCAAATAAAAATTATTCCTAAATATGAAGCTTTTTTCTACTTTAAGTGTATGCTTTTTTGTTGTTGTTGTTGTTACTTTTGATATTTCCCTGGACATTCAGGTCAGTCAGGGTATTTGTGTGGTTTAGAATTGTTCTAGAGAGCATAAGCTATTGAGTAAGGCAGGTATGGTCTGATTTCTGACTTGGATACTAGCTAAGTTTGGGTAGTTAACTTAGATATTTAGTTAGAGGATCTAGGTTCTAGGACCAGGTCTGTAAAATTTTGAGAACATTCTAACGGTACTTTGTGATATTCAAATGCTTGAGAGCTCTGATCCCCCTCACCCTTTTTTTTTTTTTTTTTGGTCAGTAGAAGTTGGAAGTGCATTCATAGGCACAGAAACCTTTGTACATATGGTTACTGTTCTGAAAAGATATTCTGTGTTCCACTCCAGATAGTTATGTGTCTTAGATACTTAGATTTTTATGTAAATTTTTTAAAAATATTTTTTTATTTATTTCTAGGAAAGAGAGAGAGACAGCGTGAGCAGGGGAGAGTCAGAGAGAGAGGGAGATACAGACTCTGAAATAGGCTCCAGGCTCTGAGCTGGCAGTCAGCACAGAGCCCGATGCGGGGCTCGAACCCACGAACCGTGAGATCATGACCTAAGCGAAAGTCGGACGCTTAACCGACTAAGCCACCCAGGCGCCCCTTGATACTTAGATTTTTAGAGCAGTAGTGTTACTATGGCTTAGGTTCTGAGTTACTGGCTTGAGAAAATTTGATTTAGGCAACTACAGAATAGAACATAAATCTCATTTTAAAAATACTACTTACTGTGCCACCAGTTAGTAGTGACTTGTCATATGGGAACATTCTTAAAAATTCTAGGAGATGGGCACCCAGGAGGCTCAGTTGGGTTGAGTGTCTGACTTGATTTTGGCTCAGGTCATGGTTCCAGGGTCTTGAGATCAAGCCCTGTGAGCCCACTTGAGATTCTCTCTCTCTCCCTCTGCCCCTCTCCCTGGTGTGTGCTCTTCCTCAACAAACAAACAAAGAAACAAACAAACAAAGTCCTAGGAGAATTGTACTTTCATGATAGTTTATTATATGTACTTTGTATTTTGGGAGTTTTAAAAAAGTGCTACATTGGGAAGGGGATCACTTAAAAACAAATTGGATTGTTTTATACACCAGTAAGTTATTTGACAGTTTCAATAATTGTAAATGAAAATAAAATTATTATTAATTTTATTTTATTTTATTAATTAACTAGGCTCCACACCCAACCTGTGGCTTGAACTCACAACCTGGAGATCAAGAGTCCTGTGCTCAGGACTGAGCCAGCCAGGTGCCCAGGAAGTAGAATTTTTATTTGATTTAATTCTAGTTTCTAGAGGATGCTTTACAAAACATCTAGTTAGTCAGTTAGTAGAGTGGTACTTTTTTATACTTATTAAGTTAAAAACTTAGAGAGTGATAGTATTCTACATGACACTTTATCAAAGAGATTGTATTAGTTGACAGCCTCGTATAAACTCTTCCTGATCACTCAGTCTAAAATACATATCTAGTTTTTGTCATATCTTATGTATGACACTTTGTGCAAGAGTGTATATGTGTTTGTATTTGTTTATTGACTATTTTCGTACCAGAATGAAGTTCCATGAGTTCTTTTTTTTTAATCAAGATATTTATTAGATGCTTAACTGTACATGGCCTGAGCTGTGAACAGGCTTTGTTAAAGGCTTGAGTGCTTGGCTCAAACCAGGAAAACTTCTGCCTCCTTTTCATGTTCATAGAGCAGCTACTGCTCACAGTTGGGCCAGTCCTATGGCCTGCAAAGGAGGAGATAAATATACCAGAGCAGGATTCTGTGAAACTGGAATGGAGCCAGAGGTAAGCCACCTCTTCCAGCCAACCCTTCAAGATATATCCTGACCACCTAAAATAGCACCCGATACTTAGTAGGTGGTCAGTGAATATTTGATGGAGGATTTTTTCCCATGTATTTATTTATTTATTTATGAAGGAGGAGTTGCAAGGATCAGATTTGAGTGAGATATAAATAACTTTAAATTATTAATTTTCATAACACTGTACAGGAAAGTATATTTGCATAATGAAGGAATATATTTCAATGTTTAAAAAATGAAAATTAAGAACTCATTAGTTTTAAGGTTTGCTAGTTTTCATCATTGTAATCTGTTAAAGGAAAATATAAATTGTGATAATTAAATTAAAAATTTAAGAGAAATTTTGATTGGTAGAGTGATAATATGTTTGTAATAAAAATTATAATTAAAATTTTAGAAAATTTGAAATACCATGAAATCTCCAAAGGTTAAAAAGTCAAAGTAGAGTGAGGTGTGATGCCTGCGGAAGTCCCACCAGCCATGATATTGTGGTCTGGTGAAGAGAGATGGATTTGTAAATCCTAGAGTAAGCCTCTGCCTACCTGAGGCCACTGCTGTGTGGAGACCGTGGGTGAAGCCACCATCAACATGTCTGACTAGGAGGCAAAACTGTCAACTTATTGGGGGATAAGAAGGAAGGAGAATATGTTAAATTCAGCATTGAACAAGATAGCATTGAGATTTGCTTCAAGGTGGAAATGACAACTCATCTCAAGAAACTGAAAGAATTGTACTGTCAAAGACAGGGAGTGCCAATGAATTCACTCAGGTTTCTCTTTGAAGGTGAGAGAATTACTGATAATCACACTGCAGAAGAATTGGGAATGGAAGAAGATGATGTGATTGATGTTTATCAAAACAAAAGGGGGAGTCATTCAGCGATTTAGATTATCTTTCCTTTTTTTCTTTACCCTCAGTCCTTTTTTATTTTTAAAAATAGTTCTTTTGTAATGTGGTGTTCAAAATAGAAAACTGGCACCCAATCTCTTTAAAATGTCTGATAATTTGAATTCTAGTACCCATTATTCATTATCACTTGTTTTCATTGTGCTACATTTTGATGATCAAACGTTAGCCCCTTTCATATTGCCCTTTCCTTTTTAAAAATTACATGTATGCACAGAGAGGCCACCTTTTCCAGGACTGCATTTTCAGGCTTGTGATAGATAAGATTGACTAATGTGAGTGTTTGTAATGACTTTCTAGTTGGCCTTAAAGTTCTAGTGTGTGATAGCTTCATTCCTGGACTGTGACTTTCAGTGGGAGATGGAAGTTTTTTAGAGAACTGAACTGTGGGAAAATGACCTTTCTTTAACTTGAAGCCACTTTTACATTTTGAGGATCTAGACCCAAAAAAGAGAAATATCAGGCTGGAGTTGAGAGGATGGAGATGGTGAGAGCAATGACTAACTCCAAAGATGGCTTCATTGAAGAGAAAGCATTTTAAGATAAAAGATCTAGAAATTTTCTTGTCAGAAGATCTAGAAAATTTCTCATTTTCATTAGCAGTGAATAAAGTTATTCATGCAGAAGTGTATACAGCAGAACATGGTTCTTTTTAATTTTATTTGTACTTTTTGGTCTGGAATATGGGTTTTAAATGAACATTGTACTAGCTTAATTAAAGTATTTGTAAAAGCCTTAAAAAATAGTCAAAATCTCTGAAGTAGACTTTTATTCTAGAATCGGAAGGAGAAAAGGAATAAAACCTGGTTATAAATAGGCTAGGTATTGACACAGCAGGCCAAGAACAGCTAAAAACATCTAGTAAGATAGAGGAACTGGAAACACTATCTTCAATCTACTGTTGAATTAGACTGTATTGGACCTATCATAGAATCTCCTTAAGAACAGTGACTAAGTTCACATTGTTCAAGGCTATCCCCAGTGCTCAGTGTAGTTCCTGGCAATTAGTATACTCTGCACAAAATTTTTTCTTGACAAAAGTAAGCCTGTAGGTAGTAAATTCTGGAGAACTGACTTCAGACATTTTTAGGGGTGTTGTTTCTATAGGTTTTCAGCCATAGCTGCTCCTATATATTTTTTCTTTGAGTTTCTCTTGACCTTTTGGGGTCAGAGATAAGAATTTGTACCTATGACTCTTGCTAGTAATATGTTTTGAATTATTTCCTGCATTGTTTTTATCTATAGTTAGAATGTTATTTTCATGAAAGAGGGCAGGCATCTCTAGTTTTAAAAATTCTGGTAGCCAAAATTTTAGTATGACCAATGCACTAATGCTAAAGTAGAAAGTCTTGTATTTATTTATATTCCTTTTTACAAAATTTTAAAAAAATCTTTATTTTTGAGTGAGCGAGAGCGAGAGAGAGAGAGAGAGGAGAGGAGGAACAGAGAGAGAGGGAGACACAGAATCCAAAGCATGCTTGAACTCAGGAACTGTGAGTTCATGACATGAGCTGAAGTTGGACGCTTAACTGACTGAGCCATCCAAGTACCCAATTTTCTTAGTGAAGTTACCTTAAATAAAGTTCCATAGGGTTTAATTGTCCTGCTAAATAAATCTTAATTACTTTGTTATAATAAGTTACAATGATTGACTTAAGGGATTAGGAATGAGTCATTAATGCTTTTTTCTTTGCAGTTAGTGATTTCAAACCTTTTTGTATTGATATCAGTGAAAAATTACTTAAGTCCTTGCTGAACATCAAGAAACTCAAAGTTGCCTTTGCGTGTATCTCATGGAAAATAAGAAGTGGATTGAATTTTCCTTTTACTAATGTAAACAGAAAAAGAACTTAGTCTAGATTTTTTTCTAGGCTTTTATTTCATTTACAGTTTTTTCCCCCTGAAGATGTACTCCTTATTTTACCACATGTTAAAATTGATGAGTATACTTAAATATATTTTAGTGTGCCTCATCAGTCTCACTAGCCATGTTTTAGTGCTCTCTAGCCACACATGACTAGTGGTTATTATATTGGACAGTATAGATATAGAACATAGATATATTCTTGCAGATATACCTGATATAGACATTTTTCTTACAGATTTTAATGATCCAGTTAATTATGATTTTTCAGGTAAGATTCTCAGTATATTTTTGTAAGACATTTGTACTATGAAATATATTTTGATTATTCTGTTATATCATGGATACTCCACTAATATTTGTTATTCTGTTTTAAAATGTCATTTTATCTGATTTTGAGACTAGCTTCCATTTTGTAATATAATTTAATGGGAAATTTTGAGACAGTAACTGGAAATTGTCCTTATAGGTAATATAGAACATTAATCTTGTTAAGTGAGGTAATGAATAGAACTGTGTGAAAATTCCTTTTAAAGCTTTTACTATCAGTATTTTAGGAATGTGGAGCTTTTAAAACAACCCTTCTTCTAGCTCCTAATGTGTTTTCATTAAACATGATAATAATGTATTTCTCGGTATAGTACTGGGCTTATAAAAGTTACTGATTAGATGTTAGTTTTATTAGTACACAGATTTGATGCATATTCCCAAACTGGATGATTGTAAAAATTCCCTCAGGAGTTTTTTAAAAATACAGATATCCAAGGCATATAAATTATATTAATGCATACAAAGGATTTTGTTTAATTATTCCTTAGCATGAACTCATTGGGATAGAGTTGTTGACTCAAAAGATTTGAATTATTGTTTAGATTTTTGATTCACAGGAACAAATTCTATTCAGAAAAGTTGCACCAGTGTACATACTATTCCCCACTTTTTCTCTACATGGGTATTATTCAACTTTTAGTATTTCTGAGTTGATTAAAAAGATCTATTTTAGTTTGTAATTGTGAGTGAGAGTCAGCATTTTTCATAATTTTTTTTGTTTATGTATTTTGAAAGGGAGCGTGAGGGGATGGTGAAGAGAGTACGAGAAGGGAAGACAGAGAGGGAGAGAGAATCACAGGCTGTCAGTGCAGACCCTGATGAGGGGCTTGACCCCAGGAACCCTGAGCTGAAATCAAGAGTTGGGTGCTTAACCAACTGAGCCACTCAGGTGCCCCTGCGTGTTTTTGATTTCTGTTCTCTCACACACCTAAGGTTCTTAGTTTTGATCAGCAGTAAGCTGAGTGATTGGGATAGAAGGCAGTGACTAAAAAGAGGAATTGGTGTTCATAATTGGGGTGATTTTGGTTATTGTACTGGGTAAAGTTAGGCACAAAAATGAATGGTATATTTTTGAAATGTTCCTTTTCAGTTTGAGAGTGGAAGAATTGGATTTGAAATTTTCATACATGAAGATACCAAATATTTTGTTACTATTATTTAAAAACTGATTATTATATTTGGTTCTGGTTGTTAATGAAATCAGTGTGAAATAATGCCATTAATGATGCCATCTAACACAACTATTTCTTATGTTTAAATATGATAGAACAGAAATTCTTAATTATGGGGACTTTTCATCTTTGTTTCAGTAATGCTTCATAGTATCTGGCCCTGTAAAAGAAAACTCATTTCCTATAATTACAAAACTTTTAACACCAGATGTATGGGCTTTCCACACCAAGTAACTCTAATTCTCTGAGGATACCAATGGGTAGTTAGCACAGGCCTCAGAGGTTAGGGGCTCAGTCCCATAAAAGTACCCTTCACTTTGGATGCCAACCGCAAATAGTGGGTAGGTACCCAGATTACTCACACTTCTGTCTGACCTGACTACAAATTGGGAGGGGTCCTGTGACTTCCTCTTCAGGTTTGATGAGATTGGCTTTTATGGCTCATAGAACTCAGACACACTTAGGTTTACCATCTTATTACAAAAGATATAATTAAAGATGAACAGCAAGATAAAGAGATACTCAGGATGAGGTCCAGAAGATCCTGAATGCACAGCTACTGGCACATGGATGTGTTTACCAACTTGGATGCTCTACCTGTATTTGGTAGGGATTTTTATCACATAGGCATGGTTGGCTTTTAAATCAATGTCAGCCTCTTCCTTCTCCCTGGAGGATAAAGGGTGGGGGTGAAAGTTCCAAGCTTATAATCAGGGTTTGGTCTTTCTGATGACCAGCCCCTATACCGAAACTATCCTAGAACCCACCAAGAGTTGCCTCACTAGAACATAAGATGTTCCTATCAGGAAATTTCGAGGGATTTAGGAACTCTGTGTAAGCAGTGTGTGTCTCTCTGGGCTACAAACAATTATGTTCAGTCTGAATGGGGGCTTTAGAGGGATTGTAGGTGCTGGCACTGTCAAGAACCCTCCTGAGTGCCAGGGGGCTCTGGTTTCCACACCAGAAGGATGTTGACAGTTTATTATCAGGCTGAAGCTTTAAGGTTGCAGGAGGATTGTGTTCTTTCTGAGTGACGGGGACAGCACCCCACTAGAAGTCCTCATCCACATATTTATTACTCCTTCTCGCTGAGTTTCTTCTGTAAACTGCTGGAGAGCCTCTTTCTACTTCAGTGTCTCTTGAGTGCCCTCTACTGAAAAAGCTTAGCATGGTGCTCATGTTAAAGGAAGAATACTTAAAGGAATTTTGTTGTTTATCACAAAACTTACCTTGAAAGATTCATTCAGAACTGAGGGGCAATAAATTGATAACTGACACATATGGATAATATGAACATCCATTTGGAATGTTATGGATAATACCTGAATTTGTTTATACAGTTACCTGTTGATGGACAATCTGAGTTTGTTCTAGTTATTGGCTCTTAGAAGCAAAGCTGCCATGAACATTAATATGCAGGTTTTTGTATGGACATATATTTTTAATTTTTATATATTTTTATTTATTTTTGAGAGAGAGAGAGCAAGAGTGAGCATGAGTTGGGGAGGGGCAGAGAGAGAGAGGGAGAAACAGAATCAGAAGCAGACTCCAGGCTCTGAGCTTCAGCACAGAGCCCAACACAGGGCTTGAACTTGTGAACCATGAGATCATGACCTGAGCTGAAGTTGGATGGTCAAACAGCTGATCCACTCAGGTGCCCCTGGCCATATATTTTAATTTCTCTTAAATACCTAAATATG